GTAGCACCAAAAATAATATCATCCACATAGATTTGAGCAACAAAAAAATCTTTTCCTTTCCTAAAAATAAACAATGTTTTATCCGCTCCTACTCTTTCGAAACCTTTGTGCATTTGATAAGAAGTTAACTTCTCATACCATGCTCTAAGTGCTTGCTTTAAATCATAATGATCCTTTTTAAGATGAAAAACATAATAAGGATTACTTGGATCAATAAAACATTTTGGTTATGCTACATAAACTTCCTCCTATAAAATACCATTAAGAAAAGCACTTTTCACATCCATTTGAAACAATTTGAATTTAAAGTAACATGAAAGAGCAAAAAGAAGACGAATAGACTCAAGTCTAACAATAGGTGCAAAAGTTTCATCAAAATCAATTCCTTCAACTTGAGTATATCCTTGTGCAACTAACCTAGCTTTATTTGTCATCATAAGACCATATTCATCAAGTTTATTTTTAAAGATCCATTTGGTCTTTAGGATATTAACATCACTAGGTCTAGGCACTAATTCCCAAACATCATTTTTCACAAATTAAAGAAACTCTTCTTACATAGTCATATGCTAATCAGAACTTTGAAGAGCTTCATCAACATTCTTTGGTTCAAATTGAGCCATGTGACATGAGTGGCCTATATCATCTACAATGCATGAGTTTTTTAACTGATCATTATGGACTGTACTCTTAGTACCCGGTCTATCCTATGGGCCTATCACATTGTCAATTGGATGACTCGATCGAACCCTAGAGCTGCTAGATGTGGGAATTTCTAAAGAAGGTACAAGAATTCCTATAGGTTCATCAGTGGTGACTTTTAATTCATCATCAATATCCTCTTCAACCTCTTCACCTTTTCCACCTAAATTATCAACTCTTTTTTCCTCATGAACTGTAGGTTCATCCTTGTTTCCTACAATTTCAAAATTTATCTCCTCTTATCAAGTAGAGTAAAGATTACCTTAAGCCCTGTATCATCAAACATAACATTTATTAACTCCATAACAACTTTGGTTCTAAGATTAAAAACCCTATAAGCCCAACTTATTTGTGAATAACCCAAAAAGACACCTTCATCACTTCTAGAGTCAAATTTTTCCAATTGTTCCCTATTTCTAAGGATATAACATTTACTTCCAAAGACTCTAAAATATTTAACAGTGGGCTTTCTATCATACTGTAATTCATATGAAATCTTTTTAGTTTCAGGCCTAATATAAACTCTATTTAGGATATAATATGCAGTATGTACTGATTTAGTCCAAAAATGACTAGTAATTATATTCTCATGAAGATAGTACGAGCCATACCTGCTAATTTCCTATTTTTTCTTTCCACTACACCATTCAGTTTTGGTGTTTTAGATGCTGAAAATTCATGCTTAATGGCAAACTTATCACAATATTCAATAAATTCCATAGGTTCGAATTCACCTCTATTATTGCTCCTAATCCGAGTAATTCGATATCCTTTCTCATTTTGAATTAGTTTGCAAATAACTTGAAATTCACAAAAGCATCAAACTTTTCTCAAAAAAATGCAATCAATGTAAATTTAGAAAAATCATCAACCATAACAAGCAAAAATATATTTTTCCTCCAATACTATCAGGTGTTATACGTCCCATCAAATCCATATGTATCAATTCTAAAGGTCGAGAAGTAACTTTATGAATAAGTCTCTTATGTGACACTCTAGTTTGTTTTCCTAATTAACATGGACCACATATTTCATTCTTGGCATTTTCAATTTAGGTAAATCTCGAATAAGATCATTATTAAACAAATTCACCAAATCATTCAAATTCATTATGGACAAGTCTTTCATGCCATAAAATTGCCTCATCAGTAACTACAAAAAAACACATAAGTAAAGGATCTGAATACGCAACATAGCAATTATCAGCAGTTCTAGTTCCTTTCAAAACACATTCACCTTTTTCATTAGTTACAAAACACCCTTATTGAATAAAATTGACTCGAAACTCCTCATCACGTATTTAACTAATACTCAATAAATTAGCAATTAAACCTTTAACATATAGAACATTTTTTAACTTCCCAATGCCTGGAAATTTGATCTTACCTTTACCATGTACACTAGAAGCATTATCATTACCAAAAGTAGCAGTTCTAACTAAGCATTCCTTAAAAGTGGTAAATAATATTCTATCCCATGTCATATGCCTAGAGCAACCACATTATCAAAGTACTAACAATATGGACCTAATGCTCTAAATGCAATGTGCATGGCAAGGCATTTAGAATTCTCTTTCTTTACTCAAACAATTTTAGATTCATTATGCAATGATTTCCTTATTATTCTAGGCAAAGTGTCACAAGACTCAGAAGTCTTTTTCATTCTTTTCTTCTTTTTAGAACTCTCCAGATTTTTCAATTTCTTTCCAAGTTCAATTTTTCTTTTCCGACCATTATACTTGATATGACATTTTTCTCCACAAAAATGACATGTTGAAATAAGTTTGGGAGAACTAGTAATAACAGAAGGTTTGGTTTCAACTTTCACAATAATATTTTTAGATTTTTGAAAATACAAATCATTTGAAGTTGAAACTACTAGTGTTCTCAACCACTTCGTTCAACTTATCAATTTTGCAAGTGTCAGTGTCAAATTTCTGAAAAAAACTGTTTTGATTTAACAAACTCACTACTAAAATTATCAATTTTAAGTTCAAGTGATTTATTAAACATATTTACCTTTTCTAGTTCCTTTTCCAGAAAATCAACCTTATGAAGAATATTCAAATTTTTATGCCAAGTTCTTCCAAATTTTTATTAGAGCAGAAACTTCGAACTTATAAATATCTCTATCAAGTTCCGTAAGTTTTAATTTCTCTAACAAATTTTCAAAATCATTTTTAAACTTAGACTACTCAATATGCATGCTTATGACAAAATCAAAAATAGGAGGTAAAGGCAACACATCAACAGAAGATGAATTTTCAGACATTATGCAACAATCACAACAAATCAACAAATATGATCTACTCAATATATCAAGTAACCTACTCTGATACCAATATGTGAGTTACGTGGTGCGAAAGCTGTAAGTTGATTTGATTGTGATTTGTAAGTTGATTTAATTGTGATTAACTCTTTTAATAAACTAGATGAGATTAATAGGTCAATTTAACTAATTTTTGTGATTGATTAAATTACCTAAGCAATATGATCAATTAAACATCCACAATCATAAAGATAAATAATGAAAAGTAAAAGAAGTAGAATTATAGAGATGGCACCAGGATTTTTAGCGAGTAAACCCCAATTGGTATAATAGACCAATTGTTGTGGGAAAAATCTCGTGGACTGTGGAGTCCAAAGTAGTAAACGCTTGATTCCTTTGTAATGTGATCGATACCTTCTTTTCCTTCAAATCTGAATTTTAAAAAAGTTTTAAATATGCTTTTCTGATCAATTTGTACTCTGATGTAAACTCTGAAGATTCTGTGCTGATCAATAAAAGAATATCAACCTAATCACTCTTGTGTTTAAGTGTGCGCTCTAAAAAACACACAATCAAATTTTTCTGAAAAATCTCTCTAAAAGCTTTAATGGTGAAAACCTTGTTTTTCCAAATGAAGCCCCCAGTTTCTCTAGGGTTAGAGATAGATATGTTATATATATCAGAGAGTCCTTACAAAAGGTAAAAAGAGCTTTTAAAAATGCACAAGCATTTCTCTAAAATTATGTTCGACTGCATGTAATTGAAGTCTTAGAATTAAAATTGGTGAAATTGGAGAAATATTTGGTTTAATTTTGTGATTTTCTTTTCTCCAATTTCACAAATTCCAATTCCATTTAACCGAACACAACCTAAGTGTTTAGGTAAAAACAAAAAAACTTAAAAATTACCAAAATTTGAAATTTTACGTATCTAGAAAAATGCAATCAATTTTCTTTAAAATACCATTAACTATGTTTTTTACTGAAAGCAATTCTGATCACAAAGAACGTAACCAATTTTGTTTTAAAATGCCACCGGTTATACTTTACTAAGAGCTATTTTAAGACTTGAGAAATGTGCAACTAATTTTGTTTTTAAACACAACCGCTTGTGTTTTGCAGAAGGCTAAAACTAGACTTGTTTTGACTCTAAAAAACTCAAAGCTCTCACAACCAACCCAAATCGTATGCAGGGACAGAGGGAGCACGTGTCCCCCCTGCATTTTCTCCCTGTCTTATATTCTATATAAATTTCTTATAATAATATATATATTTTTATAAAAATATAAAAGTACCCCACTAAATTTTGTCATTCCCTCGTAAAATTTTGTATATGTTTCTTATATTCTATGTAAATTAATTTCATCTTAAAAATATTACTCTCTATGTCTCTCTCTCTCTATATATATACTCTTAAACATTAAACATTAAACATTGATTTATATGCATTTACATTATATTATAAATTTATATTACGGTGTAAAATATTACAATGTGCTCTTAAAAAAATTTTCTGGCTCCGACCTTATGATGAGTGCAACGTGTCCTCACTCACACATATGTTCTAAATAATATTCTCAACGAATTTCACTATTTACGCTTTCACCACCACCAAGACTTGATAAACAAAAATACAACTCTATTATCAAATTTTGACTCCAAATTTTGCTCACATAGCAAATATATATGTGAAAGATGCCATCCTTGGGAGCACCAACAAATTATTTTGTCACGTATCATTATTCCATTTTAGCACAATACGTGTTATTATTTAATTATTCGTGTTGATGATGGATTCTGCGCAATCTAGATCTGATCTAACTTTCTGAACAAAGAGAAGAAAAGGTAATCCCACAAGCACCGGTGTGTTACCGATTAAGTAGGCTCCAACAAACAACTATATACATACCTTAAAACATGGATTAACCCCTTTTTTTATAGGGCTTAGGTCAACGTGTCGTAACCTATGAGAGTAGTTAGTCTTATCCTTATCGTTATTTTTAAAGTCTTGTCGTAATAGTATATCTCAATCTTATATCTCAATCTTACCAGATAATACGTTAATTAACAACTTTCCCTATCCTCGAATATTTCAGATAGTATGTTTCCTAATTAATGGCTTGCTTAAGGCAACGGTTAAGCATCACAACTTAGGTTCACAAGGGTAATATATAATATAAATACTCATATCACCCAAGAAAACACATTTTTTTATTAAAAAAATATATATAAAGAAAAGAAAAGAAAAAAATACATTCAGTTCTTCACAAAAATAAAAAACCAAGATAGATGCAGAATTAGATGCAACCGTAAATACCAAAAAAAACAAAAAGAAAAAAAAAATAAAATAACAAAGAAAAGACTACTGCACATGTCACAGTGATGAGATGGGGAGAGAGGGAGATGATGGATATGAGTTACTGGATGTAAGATTCGCCAGTGATATCGATGTCTCGATCACCGGAAGAAGGTGGAGGCTTATGCTTAGGTTGGGTTGTGGGGTCAAGCGGCCCATCTGCACTGTGTGTCGCTGGCAGGTGGCATTGCCGGCTTCTGAGGTTGTTCGGCCGCAGCCGCCTCTGTTCCGTACATTCCGCCTCCGTAGGCACCTCCGGTCACCGGCTTCATCTCTGATATATAAGGGGATTGGTGAGTCTCTCTCTTACTCTCCGCTTCCTTCTCTTCTTGCTTCTCCTCCTTTTTCATTTTGGGCTTTGTCTCACTGTTTTCCATCCAAATCTAACCCACCTAGGTTAAACACTTGCATCTAAATATATAATTACAAGGTTTTGACACGTGTCTGTTAGTCAACGTGGCAGAGGCTGCGTGTGCCAGGGCATTTGCTGGCATGCAATTTCATGATTTCCAGCCTAGGGGTTCAGAGCCCTTGTCAGTGAATTCGTACTGAAGATTTATTTTTTTACAGGTTATACCATGATTTTTTTATTTTTTCATATCATCAGCTTTCGAAACGAAAAAAAAAAATGAAGGGTTGAAGTCTCCTTATTAATAAATTAAAGTCATTCAGGACCTTCTCACTAGAGGTATCACCGGATCTGGCCTGATCTGAGCCAAATTCGATAGGGCTTTTTACTTGATTGGATTCGATAAACTTTTTATTCAATTGGATTCGATCTCGTTAAATTTTTTTAAAATGAATTCATATTCGATTTATTGATAAACGGATATCGAATTCGATAATCCGATTCAATATATCCGAGTGTAAATTTTTTGTACAAAAAGAAAAAGAAAAGAAAAAAAATTAATATCAATAGAGAATAAAAAATAATGATTAGACCAAAAAAGAATAGAAAAAATATATATATGAAAGGAAAAGAAAAAAAATTATTTACTCTTTGTTAATGAATAAATATTATGATATTATTAGTACGTATATTAGGACATTTATTTTATATATATCATAAAAAATAATGATAATAATAATATTATTATATATATATTTTTTATTTGGGTCAAATTATTATTGTACACACATATTTCTTAATATGCAATAAAAGAATAGAAATAGTGGAACAAATAATCAATTTTATTAACATTTAATAAGTGGGTGTAATTCTCTATAATATTCTTTACAAAGAAAGAATGTCATCTGATTCGATCTCCTGAATCTTTGGTGCAAATGCTTCGATATTTGATGTTAAATCCGCTGCAATGAACTTTCTTCAAATCTCCGAGAAATAAAGAAAACTTGGATTGATTTTCGATTGAGAGTCGTAAAAGCTTAATCTCAAACGCTTGAATGAAATTCTTTGAATAAGGCCGCCACTTGTTGAACGTGCTTATGGTCCTTACTATTCAAAGTTTCAAAGTTAAGTCTTCAAAGCTTTAAGTAGTGAATGGGTGTAGAATTCGGCAAAGTTTCAGTGTTATGTTGGAATCCCCTTTTCCTTCCCCCTTCACTTCTATTTATAGACTTCATGAAGGGACAAAATAGTCATTTGAGTCATTTGGATAATTATCACAACTATAATTTGGATAATTATCATAAGTGTATATATATACATATATGTACATATATTAAGAATAATTATTAATTTATTTGACTAACCTAATTTTCAAGTAGGCCTGTTATATATGTACATATATTAAGAATAATTATTAATTTATTTGACTAACCTAATTTTCAAGTAGGCCTGTTTAGTTAGCAATTTGAAATTGACATATTAAAGTGGGTTGGGTCAATTGAGTAGTTTGGGTTGATCCATGACCCATGTTTTGTAGTGGGTTTAGGTTGTTTAATTAGCTAACCAGCCCATATTTCAGAATGGGCTAGATTGATGATAAGCCTAAAATATAGCTTGAACCCATCATGTGAATTTTTTAGTGTCTACAAATTGCCCCCGCTTCAAGTCTCGGCTTTGCACCTACTTGCTAGGTGTAGAGGCTGGGCTTGAAGTTCACTTCAAGTCTCGGCTTCATGCCTACTTGCTAGGTGTAGAGGTTGTGCTTGAAGTTGATTCCCTTATTACAAGATTTTGTTGTGCACACCAATCGGTAATCATATGAACGGATTTTTTTTTTTAAGTATTTTTTATGGGATCAAATTAATCCCCCTGTTGCACATGACTTTGTCAAGCCCAGATAGTTGGTAAGGACATGGATACGTATTTTCATTTTTTTATTATTATTATTATTATTATATATATATGTATTTTAAGGCTTGAATCATCACATTGGCACACAAACTTAAATAAAATCCATGTGCAAAGAAAGTTACATTGCTGTTATCAAGACGTGATGGACAGGATGTGAGATATAAATTCTGTAATTGGCAAATTTCAGTGTCAAAACAAGTTCGACCGAGTTGTAATTTCAAGTTATCATATCAAGATCGGGCTCAGCTGCGGAATTGGAAGATTGTTCAAAGATACTCTACTGAGATCATCAAGAAAGGAAAGAACAACACTTTAGGAAGAAATCTAAAAAGGTTAGGACATGTTCCATACTTGGTACTTTTTCAAATCTTACCAAAACAGTGTTTTCAAACCTTCAGAGCCATAGGATTCAAGTCTGGCAAACTTGAACCAGTTCAAGCTTGTTGGAACCAGTTCAAGCTCTTCAAAGTTGCATCGAAAATTTACTGCCATTCTTAAACCGGTTCAACCTTTCTTGAACCAGTTCAAGGGTCTTCTACATGATTTGGTAACTTTTGAATCCTATCCTGTACAACTTCATACTTCATAAAAGCCTTAGGAAGTTTATTTTTGTAGAAAATCCAAGTTGATTTCTCTATCAGTCTTTCTAGAACATACACATTAACACAAAAGTGAGTTTAAAGTATTGTTCAAATCCTTATCGTGATCAAATTCTTGCATCTACAACGATCAGAGAAAGGCAGATCTACTTCTATATCGAATTCAGATATTGAAGAACATAAGTAAAAGCGATCACACTTTGAAAGGGTCAAAGCATTCGAAGAGTGTTGTTTGATCTACCTGTAACCCTTCTATAGAGATCAAGAATAAGCCTAAGGTCAAGTGCTGTTGGACGGGACAGCGCAAAGCCAGAGGATTATCAGCTAGTGGTGTTTGGTAGAACGATATGGTGTGAGCCTGAGTCAAAATTCAGTGTACTTTGTTTCAAACATAATGGATCGGTTTACTTTGGACTGTACAGTTGTGACGGCCCAAGTTTTTCAACCCGGTGCGTCAGTGATGAACCGAAAGATGACCCAATAACGGACCCGAAATGCGGAAGCAAAAGACAAAACAACGGTCTCTAGAGATACCACGCATCTCTAAGACACCCATGTGACACTCAATGAGGTCACGGAACCCAAAGGAAACAAATGCGGAAGCAACATTTCAAAAACGGACAAGAATGCACATAGGGGCAAAATCATCATTTCTAGCTTAAAAGTGGGTGTCACCAAGCACACCATTGGAAATACAACGAAAAATTAATGAACTTAGACTCAAAAATTGCTTGATTCGGAGTCCGGATGAAGAAGATATGGCTTACGGAAGAAAAAGGGGCAAAATGGTCCAAAAGAGGCAACCCATGAACATCTAACCGGTTAGGAGACCTTCCTAACCGGTTAGGAGACCAAGAAACACAACCAAGACACTGCCCCAAGCCATCTAATCGGTTACCAAACCCTTCCTAACCGATTACATGTGAAGCGGGCAGAAAAGTGCAACCCAAAAACCTGGCAGCAGGAATATTTTCCGAGAAAAATGGAAATTTGAGGGCCTAGATGACATTTTCTGGAAAAAAAAATCAAAGAAGAAACCCCCCTCAAAATCGAGTTTTCTAGGTGACTCTCAAGGAAACGCACTGTAAAATACCCAAAATGCCCTCCCAAGAAAACTGGTCCAGAGGGTCCAAAAAGCTGCTAAATTTAAAAAAACTGAGAGCTAAACTTCGGAATCGATTTCCGATGTCAAGACGACATTTCCCGGAAAAACACGAAGAAGAAACCCCCCCTAAAATCACATTTTCTATTCAATCATGTGAAGAATGGAATTTTTTTGCCCAAGAAAATTTCCAAAATACCCTTAGGTCAAAATATGCAACAAAAGTGTAAAATGAATCCGTAAGAGGCTCATTTCACCAAAGAAGAAGCTTTGCCCCAGAAACGACCATGCACGCAAACGTAACTTACCTAGTAAGATGTGCTACAATGGTCCATGGCCCAAAAATATGGCCGATACAAAATATGACCCCCCAACGGCCAAAATGCCAAAAACGAAGTTTGGAACGAAAACTTGGAATCCAAAAATACAAAACGGGATCAAATGACCGTTTGGCCCTTGGCTACACTTCATACAAGATTAATAAGATCCTATGAAAGAATGAGAATAGAATTCCCACACCCGATGCAACCATGGTAAAGCATTGACTTGCGATTTTTTAAGATTTTCATAATATTTCATGAAGTTAAAAAGTACATAGAATACAATATAATGGTCATTGGCCTTCGGCCTCATCTCATACATATCAATTACATTGAAAGGAGTGTACTTAAGTACACATTACATACATGAAATCAAATATACATATTTTGACATATAAGTCTACAAAATGACATTTCATGCTAACATTTGCATGAAATGGAAACTTGAAAGCTACACGACATCCAAATAATGCAAGGCTTCACGAACCAAGTCTTCGTACCTGAAATATGCCCCAATATCGTAGGGGTGAGTAACATAAAGCTGCTTGTAGGAGATGAGCATGCATTGACCTAGCATTTTACAAACTTATCACCTTAAGGTGAAACATGTTAAAGGGGTTCATGCCACCTAACGTCTATATCGAAATGAGACTTAGGGAGCATCCTAAGCTACCTTAGAGTGTTTCTAGCATAAATCACATCATCTATGCTATTTAAACAATATGGAAGCACGTTATACAAAGCAACAAGATATAGGTTCTCAAAGGTATTAACTTGCAATCTCGAATACAGAAACAACTAAAGTAATCATGTCACCTAACGTCTATGCTCTAAATAAGTCTAAGGAATCATCCTAGGCCATGCTGAATAATCAAAAAGCAAATTACAACTTCAATACAGTCTAACCACATAAAAGCATATTATACAAGGTAATAAAATACAATTTCTTAAAGCTATTAGCTTGGAATCTAAAGCACGAAAACAACAGAAGTAGGTCATGCTACCTAACATCTAAGTTATAAATGAATCAATAGGATCAATCCTAAGCTTTATTAGAACGTCAAAACACGATTTTTAATATCGATGC